GTTGTGTGTTCTAGTTTATATGTAAATTAGAAGACAGTGTGACAAGGATGCCAGGGATGATGGAATTCAAACATTTTTCAGACCAGTTTTACATTAATTAGAGTTATTCTCACTCTTTTGATTTATTTACAGTTTTTCTCAAAAATAAGTACATCAATCAAGCTAGAAGACACAGAATTAGCTAATAAGCCATAATAATTGATGCCTTAAAAATGAAAGAAAGTTTAAAAATATGATTTATTGGAGACAACATGGAAACTAAAAGAATAAGAAACAAATAGTTCTTTTTTTCCAACTTTGCTATCATCTTTATTTGAAATTGTCCATGATTTTCTAAAAAAAAATCCATTAATATAAAGAGAACATACTTCATGTTTTTCATAGGCCTAATTCTAAGAAGATAACCATACATCCCTCCCTCCCTTTCATTCTCCCTCAGTCCCCCTCCTTCCTTTCTTTTTTACTTTAATTTTTGCAAAAACATAATTCAATCCACTCTATAATCACAGGCTTAATGCAACACTATCCATAATATTCAATGAGTAAAACATAGAAAGTTAACAGTTCCACAGGAGTCTAAACAAAGGCTAAAAACAACAATCAAATCACAAGAAATCAACAATGCACTTTTGGAAAATTAGAACTAGAAGCAGCGCCACAGTCCCCTAACTCCACCTCTGCTCACAAGGGTGACATGGGAAGTCTGTAAACCTGATGGGGAACGTGGTGGAGAATGATTAAGCATCAGAACCTTGAGGATGGCTGAGCGTCCTGCACAAACCCAGGGGGAGAATTTTTCATGCTAAATCTGAGAGCCTAGTATCCTTCCTTACTCTGCACATGAAAGCAGCCACTCACTCCCAGGCCTCAGTAAGCACAGGCGCTGCATGCCCTCCTGTTTTCTTAGCCATCATCCTAAAGTGCTTCCCTAAAACCTGGATTGTACCATATCTGCAGAGCTATTTCAGGTCCATTTGACACTTGAGTTTCCTGGACTTGTTTCAACATCTTAACTATTACTCCAGCACGTTGTTCTACTTTTAACAGCATCAACTTCTCCTTGCATCTGGTCTGAAATCCCAGCCAGTCCAGCCGACCTCAGGACATTATCCCAGGAGCAGCTCTTCATGAATGATTTTCCCCATTGAGTTTCCTCAGTGCCCTGCAGATGGGACACAAACACATCCTTCTTTAACCAACCTGTAACCATTTATTTTTATCCAGGTTATTCTGTCTCATTCACTCTATAGTTGTATCACTTTTGAAATCTCAATTTTATTTGGAATAGTTGATTTTCTTTATTCTATTTTTTTTTATTGACAGGCAGAGTGGACAGTGAGAGAGAGAGACAGAGAGAAAGGTCTTCCTTTGCCGTTGGTTCACCCTCCAATGGCCGCCGCGGCTGGTGCGCTGCGGCCGGCGCACCGCGCTGATCTGAAGCCAGGAGCCAGGTGCTTCCTCCTGGTCTCCCATGTGAGTGCAGGGCCCAAGCACTTGGGCCATCCTCCACTGCACTCCCTGGCCACAGCAGAGAGCTGGCCTGGAAGAGGGGCAACCGGGACAGAATCCGGCACCCTGACCTGGACTAGAACCTGGTGTGCCAGCAACGCAGGCAGAGAATTAGCCTATTGAGCTGCGGCGCCAACCGGAATAGTTGATTTTCAGAAGTTTAAGTTGAACCTTTGCACTTGATATGTATTGCACTGGAAAGTAGGCATTAATGTTCCTCTTGATTTACCCAAAGAGAAATGATAGCAAAATCTAGCAAGGGTCAAGGGGTCAATTCACTCCGAGGTTCCCATGCTACAATAATATGCTCTTGTGTGGAGCCTGCTGGGGAGGAAGGGGGCTGTGCAGCACTGGACACCTTGAGATGGGGATTCTATTCTTTCCTGGTCTTGCTTGCCTCTAACTGGCTATGTTCCCTTGGGTCAAGGGCTCTGCCCTCTGTCTCTATGGCCTTAATTCCATGAATGCATGTAGATCAGATGATTTCTAAGGTGGCTTCTAGTTCTGAGAGGTGATTCATTTGTGCTGATTTAAAATCAACATCCCAGTGAGGAGCATGTATAGCTACCCCTTCAGGAGTGGAGCCCCTGAGATGTGCTGCTGAGCAGGGAAGCTTTTCTTAGTTTTCTTCAAATGGCTGAGCAGGTGGTTAGAATTAGAGACACAGGCCTTTCTAGCAAAGTGGGGATATAAAACCCCCAAACAGTTTGTCATACAGGACCCCTTGCTCAATAAAAGTGAAGGCAGATGTTCGCATAAAGTTTCCACTGTTTGTAGTTTTGTGGAGGGGATTTTGTTGGGCATGAAGTTTATTGGTAAGGCACAGGAGCATCTGCCCACCCATGTTGCCACATAACAGCAGTTTTACAGCCCATTTATGGGGTTGGAATTATTTTTGTTAATGGTTTTCACGGGAGTGGATTAAATGCAGTGTTACAGTACCAGCTGTAACTACTGTTTATCATGGAGCTGCCATCCAGGGTAGCCCCACTCCCACCCCCATTAGACATTCGTTGTCAAAGAGCTTATTGTCTTTGTATGTTTTAGAGATAAAACAGGCTGGATCAGTCTCCTATTATTGCTATAGCAAATCATCATAACTGGGTGGCTTTCAACAAGGTAAATGTATCATCTTACTGTTCTGGAGATTACAAGTCCAAGATGATTGAAAATCATGGCATCAGCAAGTCTGCATTCCTTCTGGAGGTTCTGGGTACAGAATTTACTCCCCCATCTTTCCTGGCACCAGAAAATAACCTGTATTCCTCAATTCACGTCCCCTCTCTCCATCTTCAAGGCTGACACATGTTTTTGGTCTCTCCTCTCTGACTTCTGTTTTTATCCATACATCTTTGCTCTGTATCTCTGACTCTCCTATCTCCGTTTTTGCAGAACTCTTGTAATAATCTAAAATAAGCTTTCCATGTCACATGTCACAATCCTCAAATTAATCACATCTGCAATGAGCCATTAACATATAAGGTAACCCATTCACAGGTGAGGTTGGGATGTGGACATGTTTGGAGAGGAACCAGTCATTCTTCAGCCTAATACAGGCACCATAGCGACCAGCCAGGGTCCAAGGGATACATGATTTATCTACATTCACGTGGGAATCACTGACAAAAAGAAATAGCAGAATGTCCTGAGGGAGACATTGTTTTTCATAATAAACTTTAAATGATTAGGGAGTAAACACAGAATTAAATCAATGATTGAAAAACGAGTTTAGGGAAGATAGAAGCTTGCGTTTTGAAATGGCACTCTTAATGTACGGTTCTCTAGGAGGTACATCTAAAGATGTTAAGTGACTTGCAGTGATAACATAGTTCACACAACAATAAGAAACAGAAGAGGGCCAAGGAAGCACAGGGAAAAATGTCCTTGCATCTGTGTTTCCTCCTCTCCCTCACCCTTCCTTCCTTTCTCCTTCTTGTAACTCTGGTTGCCATTTTGAATATTATTAACAGCTAGAAATCCAATTCAAACTTTTTTAAACCAAGGGAAATGCAGCCATCAGAGATATGTTTGCATAGATTAAACCAAATTTAGTGTATTTCACAAAGAGGTCCATCTTATTTTGACATTGAAGTATTTATGTAGAAATCTAAGGAACTTGTATGTAGTTCTTCTCCCACTTTTGCCCAGCAGTTGCACGAAACAAAGGAGTCATAGAATTTTGCATTTAAATAGGAATAGATGTACAGTATAGCCTAATTTGTCTCTGAATTATCTCCCTCTTTTAGAGTATCTTTGTCAAGTGTTGGCTAGTCTCTCTTGCCGCCATTTTCTCTGTCCATGTTATGGGCATGAATGATGGCTGCTGTAAATTAAAAATGCTATTATATATGAGTTCCTGGGAGAGCAGGTTCATTTAGAGTTCTGACTTGATTGTCATTCTCATCCTCTCTGGGAGTAACTCCCAGACTCCACCATGGCAGGGTCAGGTGGCCTTCACCTGTAGTCACATAACATTCTTGCCTTAACCTCCCCCTGCACTAAGGTCCTTGCCCTTGTGTTTATCTGCCTTCCTTGCACTTCAACCTAGTCCAGTGCTGAAACAGGAGCTCCCTGTGCCACTGGGGACTGACGAGGCAAGGAATGGCTATACGATCTCAAGGACATAGGCAGGACACGTGCAGCCAGAGCCTAGTGGAAGCGCTGAGAAAGGCAGGAGACGGCCACAGGTATACTTTCTGATTTTCACTGACATTAACTTAGTAGTAGGTTGACTCCCCACCTCCCTTGTGCTGCTCACTTCTTGTAAAGAAGAAAAATAGGAGTGGGAATTGCCATTAAACTGTATTCTAATAGACGTTTTAATGGGACAATGAAAATGAGCAGAGGTCTCCTGTGGGTATTTGCACTCAGGACTCAGCATCATATTTTCTCCCTATCCACTGACTATGTTATTCAACTGCTAGAATATTATTAGGTTAATGACAGTGATGAACTCAAGAAAGTCAAGTTGCCAAGCTCCTAGCTGGCTTTGATTGAGAGTCATAAGAATAACTCCTCCAGCTTGGTTTTGACAGCTCACAGGAAAACACCCTGTATATGTTGAATGACATTCCTTGAAAAGCTTCAAATACCTTCTAGATAGAACAAGGATGATTCTCATTTCATCCCTGCCAATTAGGAAGGCAGATATCAACTCAGAAATTGCTAAATATTTGGTATACTGCAGACAGGTTAGAAAGACATTGTGGTTTAAAACTGATGTCAGCAATAAAACATCAGAGTTAACTGTATTTGACAAAGAGGCCACAGAATAAGTGGACCTGAAATTAGAGAATCTGACTTAAAGGGATCACGAAGGTTGGATTTGGACAAGTTGTTTGCGATTCGGGTCAGGAAGCCATCAGAGCAACACCCAGGGATCCTCATAAGTGGGGACATTAGGTGGCCTTCTTTGATTTTATTATCTTTGTCCCTTAGCTCTTTTTGCATTGCTCTCCCAGCCTAATTCTGTAACTTTGTTTTCTTTCTAGTTCCTTCTTTCTGGGGATTGGTGAACTCAGCGTGGAACCTGTGCTCTGTGGGGAAGCGGCAGTCACCGGTGAACATAGAGACCAGTCACATGATCTTCGACCCCTTTCTCACCCCACTGCGCATCAACACTGGGGGAAGGAAGGTAAGCGGCCATGTTGCTTCCATCATGCGCTTGAGGATGGGGGTGGTGCTGCTTCTGAATGCTGATCCTCCAGCCTCCGGCCCTGCGTCCAGTGTGGCTTTCCACCTAGGAACGCCACACACCTCACGCCTGCTGCCGACAAACATAACTTCGTCTAAATTGTGTTTTTTCTCCCTGGCCAAACTCACATGCTTGTAATTAGTCTACACCCCTGGAGGTTGCCTGAGGTCCTATCCCTGGCACTCCATGAAGATCAGAAAACAGTTGCCTCTCTGGCATATCATGCTGGGACAATCCTTCCTCGCAGAAAACTTTTTACTGAACCTTCTTTTCATCTTAATGAGGTGAAAACAAACACAAAAAAATAATGAATGTAAAACCAGACATTTACCATCCTGGGAGGAAAAACAAACAAAAATCACCTTAGATGATTTATAAGAAAATCAATAATTAATCTTCCTAGGGGTGTCTCGCTGGCTAAGAATCCAAGCTCCTTGCACAGAAATGCTGAGTGGTGCTTTGTACAGCTCACACCTAATTCCCTCCTGCCCTCTCCTCCTGCCGTGATGAGCTCCTCCTCCATGGGTGGGAGGGCAGAGTGCCCGTAGGATGTTCTCATCGCTGGAGTCTAGCATTTCGCTTGCTGGCTCATTTCTGTTTGGCTACTCTTTACTGTGGAGTGGGTTGTTGAAGGCAGGAAACACACACATGCAGAAAATTGTATCTGAAGGTGATTTAGCTCTGTGAACTCAAGAGGAATGGAAATCTCTTTGTGTGCAGAAAATTGTGGTTAAAATTATAGACAACCTTTGTTATGCTGGCAACTGATTCTCCAGGTTGTGAGCTCACTGGGCTCTGCTTTCTCTCCCTTTTATGCAATTTGTTCACGATGCTTACCTCAGAGTTTCTAAGTTAATTTTTTCTGCCTTTGATGTACTGGAGTCTGTTTTCTGTTGCCATATCATTGTCTGTCTGTCTGCCTCTCCCCTCTGCCCACAAAGCCAGAAGTTGTCAGTGACTTTGACTGAAGTTAAAATGTAGGAGTTAAAAGATATTGCACATGATTGGGATCTTACAGCAAAGTAGTATTTGTGTACTGTTTTAGATACGAGCTGAGATGCGTTTCTATAGAAAGGTCGTTTATGGGTCATTTAGTGTATTGCTGTCATTCCATAGAAAACTAAACTACGCTAATTATTGTTTCATGTTCAATTTTGTTTTTGTAAATCTTAAAACGAATTTGACATGACTTCTACATATACCTCTCTATGTGAATCATTCGTTTAAAGTCAAGAACATGTATGAGTCCCCTGGTCAGTATTTAAGAAGGAAAAGTTGCAATTTTAACTAAATATTCAATCATCTTTTCTTTTTCTTTTTTTTTTTTTTAAGAAGTCATTAGGGAGTTATTGCATTCTGGGCAAGGGGAAAAGCAGTTATGAAAGAAAAAAAAACTAGGACAGATTGAGGTTTTGTACTTGAGTTCTAGAAATTCCACTAATGCTGAAGCCAAGAAACCTAAGAGGGCGTGGCCATGGGATGTTGGAGTAGATGGCAAAGGCCAGGTCCTGGGCTGTGTTGAAAAGCTGTATCTTTTTCCTAACAGTTAGGGCAAGCACTGCAACGGATCATAGGTAAAGTGTACGTTGCATGTGGGATGGAAATGATGGCAAGGTAACACAATTAGTGTTTAGATAATAATCACCTTCTATTAGACCATCTTCAGTGAAATTTTGATGTGGAAAAAAAAAGGTAACTTCTTTTTAAAATGATAAAAAAAAAAAAAGGGACTGGGAGATAACCTGGTGTTCAAACTCCCTCTCTTGCTATCATTTTTGCTTGTTTATTTTGGGGGTCTTTTTTAACACAATTTTTTTTTTACCCTTTCAATTCAGTAAAATGTGTCTGATCCAAATCAATTTTCAAATGCACTGGAGTTGGGATTTTGGAAACATTGACTTTGACCATGTAAATATTTATATCTGGCACGATTTGTGTTGTCAGCGGTTTGAAGAGCTGAGAACTATTTGATGGTTCGCTTTACATTTATGAAAGGTGACAAATAAAATATAGATGGTGGTGAGATAAGTAAACCAGTCATTGAATGTCTATATGTGATAGACAGTAGCTAAATTGTGTTTGTGAAGTTTTTAAAGGTGATGATAATGAGTTGAAGACTTGCTTTGCAAGTGAGGATTCAATCACTGCTCAAAATTTAGTTCTGTCTTAAAGAAACACTCAAAAGGTTTAAAAACCACGCCGAGACACTACAAGTGGGTTAGGTCTTGGAGACTTTGGACAAGGGACCATATTTCAAAGACTCAGTTGAAATGGGTGTCCGTGGGTTAAACACACCTAAGTAGCTTTGTGTTTTGTGTCCCATTTTTATACATCAGCACTATTCTTTCTGTCGTTTAAATGTATCTTATGCACAAAACCATGAAGCATCTCTGTGGCAGCCTTGACTTGTGTTGCTGCAACTATTTGAACACATTTGACTGTATGTAGGCTTACGTGATGGAATGAGGGCTTTTCTTAGCCTAGGCCAGGGCTGAAAAATCATACCCAACACAAAAGTAACAATGAATAGTAATGGAAGAAAATGAAAATGTACCATGTCTTGGATATAATTAAAAATAATAGTGTTCATTTTTACCTAAAAATAAGTTAGTTATTCTCAATGGTAGTTTTTAAGAAATGTTTGTTTGGGTTTCTTGTTGTTATTGTTGGAGCAGAGTAATATTTAATCTGTCTATGTCTGACATACAAGACACTTAAGGATAAAATCCAGAATGATTGTGTTTTTTCAAGAACACACCCTTAAGGTTGAGCTGCATGTGGATGTAAGAATCATACCTTGAAACTAACATCCCACTGTTGGCCTTATTAAACTTAACTTCCTATATTCTAAATAGTTTTCAGCCGTTCGTTTTGTTCATTCTATATAAAGTTATCATACCAACTCAAGAATAATCAAAAAAAAAAAAAAACAAAGGGCTAGGGGGGTGAAGGACATAATTCTTTCTTTATGGCTGCATATTACGTCAAGTTTCCATATATGGGAAGTTGTACTATGATAAAAATGATGTTTTACATGGAATTAAGCCTAGCTAGTATTTTGAAGATTGAGAATCTTGTTATTCATTAAACTTTCAGAAATTGATATTTCTTTTTATTTCTTCCGAGCATTTTTGCTCAGAGCAAAGTGAGCATATGCAGTGTGTTTGTGTATATATTATAATGTGCTAGTCACATAAGTGAGCTTCTAGGTCATTTGAAAATGAAAATATATAGTGAGGAAGTTGCCCCAGAGTGAAGGACACGTGACTCCCTGTGATAATTTTGTGATATGGCTGTTTGCACAGAGTATCTGTTTCAGGTGGGCGCTGGAGGGTTAGTTAAGGGAGACCTTAGTGTTCATGGAGCAGACATGGAATGTAGAAACTTCTCTGCTGTTCTAAAATACTGAAAAGGAGCAAAATTTTAAACGAAGCCTAAAATCCACTTGTTGCTTCTACCATTTACAAAAAAACAAACAAACAAAAAACACACAGTTCTGTACCTTCCTCAGCTTTTAACCCTTTCAATAAAATACACATCTCAGTAGTTAATGGCATGAAAATAGCTAAAGATATGCTAAATATAAAAGGTAGAGGCAGACATTGTGACATATTGTGTAAAGCTACCGCCTGCAATGCTGGCATCCCATATGGACACTGGTTAGTGTCCTGGCTGTTCCACTTCCCAATGGTCTGGGCAAACAGTAGAAGATACCCAACTGTTTGTGCCCCTGCCATCCACATGAGAGACCCAAATCAAGCTGCTGGTTCCTGGCTTTGTGGCCTTGCCTGAGCTGTTGTGGCCACCTGGGGCGTGAACCAGCAGATAGAAGATCTTTCTCTCTGTCTCTCTCTTCTCTATAACTCTGACTTTCAAATAAAATAAATAAATCTTAAAAGAAAGTAAAGGCCGGTGCCGCGGATCAATAGGCTAATCCTCCGCCTTGCGGCGCCGGCACACCAGGTTCTAGTCCCGGTCAGGGCGCCGGATTCTGTCCCAGTTGCCCCTCTTCCAGGCCAGCTCTCTGCTGTGGCCAGGGAGTGCAGTGGAGGATGGCCCAGGTCCTTGGGCCCTGCACCCCATGGGAGACCAGGAGAAGCACCTGGCTCCTGCCTTCAGATCAGCACGGTGCGCCAGCTGCAGCGGCCATTGGAGGGTGAACCAACGGCAAAAGGAAGACCTTTCTCTCTGTCTCTCTCTCTCACTGTCCACTCTGCCTGTAAAAAAAAAAAAAAAAAAAAAAAAAAAAAAAAAAAAAGAAAGAAAGAAAGAAAGAAAGAAAGAAAGTAGGACCTGAAATTATCTACCTAATGATCCCATTTTCATTTTGAAAACATCGATGATCATGCATAAATGAGACACTGGGATTAAGGGTAATACTGTTTGTTTTTTTCTTTTCTAAAATATCTAAATTTTTCTATAACATGCGAGCCTTAATTTTATAATCTGAGCAACACCTATTGTTTTTAAACATACCAGCAAAAATATACTTGGAGTTAATCAGTGTGGTAGATAAAATAATGACCCTACCAAAGATGTCCTCACTCTCATCCACAGAACCTGGAAATATATCCCCTTACATGGAGATGTGATTACATTAAGGTTTCAACAATGGGGAGGTTCTCCTGGACTGTCTAAGTCAGCTCATCATAACCACAAAGTCTTTAAGAGGTAAAGACAGAGGCAGGAGGGTCAGAGAGAGAAAGGAGACAAGTAGATAGATGCGAATCTGAGTAAGGCAGGACCATGAGCCAATGAACACCGGTGACTTCTAGGAGCTCAAAAGTGCAAAAGAAGTGATTCTTTCCTAGAGCCTCCGGAAGGCAAGCATTGCTGCCCAAAGCTTGATTTAAGTCCAGCAAGACTGGTTTCAGATTCCTGACTCACAGAATGTAAGAAATCCATGGTCTTCAGCCACTTGTTTTATAGTAATGCATCAC